ATGTTAATTGGGCTAAAAATATACTTTTTAGATTGTGTTTTCAATTTTTTCTTTTTTTGTGATTGTTCATTAGAATGAAAAGAGTGTATATTTCAAATTTTGGATCAGACAAATAGCCATAAGATGGTTTTTTTAAAGTTGTTGCATCATATTGCTATACAACGGTTGCATGAAATCATTGCCCATAATAATTATATCTTAGTTTTTCTCTTAATTTTTAGAATACTTGAAATAAATCTCAAGCTTTCTAAAACCTTATCCATACTTTTTTTTCTTTTTTGGCTATTAGATGAAAATAGTTTTCACAGTAATCGTAGAATCATGAAGGCATCACAATCTATTGAAAACCGTGATCACGTGATGGTCATGGTAGGTTGAAAGTCAAATGTAATTTGGAAGGATTACGTCAGTTAAGTAACCATGATGGTTTATTGGACTATCACGGTTCTAATTTAATTATTATATTATTATCTAAGCATCACGGCTTTTAAGTGTTGTGATGCATTAACGACTATCACGCCTTTTTAAGTGTTGTGATGCCTCTTAGCGACCATCATGATTGTTTGAGGATTGTGATGCATCAAAACGTTAAACTGCCCAAGACCATCATGGTAGAAGTATACCTTGATGTTTTCACAGTTCTAAAACTATTGTGAAGGATATTTTGTTAAAAAAAAGCGCAAACAAATAAAGAAAAGGGGTATGGATGATATTTTAGAAAGTTTGGAGTTTATTTCCAATGATCTAAAAATTAAGGTATATTTTTTATAATTTCCCTACAGAAAATTACAGATACCTCCAAATTGTGATTTTGAGGTATACCCTATTACTATTGATATCAAATTATTTAACTCTTAACTTTTTTATTTTTTTATCCACTCCTAAGAAAGCAAAAAAAGTTGATCTTTTGGACCAAAATACCACTCTATTTTACCACATATTTAAATTATGACACCCAATATTCTCGGTCTAGTACAAATATGTTGAACCGGCTCGTACAAATCACGTCAGACCGTTTTCTGATAAAAAGTGTCGAGACGACATAGAGTATGTCAGACTAGTTTCTGACATTTAAATGTTGACATTCCAATACAAATGTATCACACAAGCTTATATTGAGATCGTGCCGATCTAGTACATCTTGTGTTGGACAAACTCAAAGAGAGAAGTGGCAACTGTTGGTTAAAATGACGGTATGTTGATTAAAAAAAGAAGGAAATTTACAAGTAATGCCCAAGACTAGGATTTCTATGCAAGTTACCCCTAACCAAACTCTTTTTTCTCTCCTGTTTCTCCAAAATACACTTTTTTAGCAAATACCCCCAAGTAAAAAGAAAAGGGTATATTTTTTGATGAAAATACTATTTTTCGTATATAAAAATTTAATTTTGGTTGGACATTCACGTGGCTTACATAGGCTACTGGACTACTCTTTAACATTACCTGACTCGTTAAACTAAAAAAGTACCAAACCACTCTTTGACATTGTCGGAATGTACTTTGGGTCTGTTGCCAGACCGCATAGGCCTGTTGCTGGACCGCTTGGGCCTATTGTCGGACCACTTGGGGCTATTGTCGGACCGCTATTTAGTAGTGCCAGACCGACTGGACCTATTGCTTGACCGCATGGGCCTATTGCCGAACCGTTATTTGTTAGTGCTTGACCACCACTGTTATTTATTGGACTGACATTACACTGCCGGACCGCCTTAAGAATACGCCGAACCGCCTTTTCGTGGGAAAGAGGAGAGAGAGATGTAGGTAAAAGTAAAGGCAAGTAGTTTATACTTTTTTTCTTTTTTCTTTGGCTGGGGGAATTTTCTAAGAAATTATATTTTAGGGCAAAAAGTGAGAAAAAAAAATTTGGTTGGGGGTAACTTGCATAGATAGTCTAATCATGAGGGTTACTTATAATTTTCCCTTGAAAAACAAAAAGAAAAATTTTAGAAGTGAATGTAAAAACTGAACAATTTTGAAATTAACAATGTCCTACCAAAAAGTACAAGTGGGGGAGGGGCCGACGCCTACCATGTCCAATTTGGAAATATCTATAATTTTCCCTAAAATATGTTGGGTGCAATGGGCATACGGATGCATCCGTAGCTGTAGAGGTAAAGTGCACCTTCAAATTTTTTCGGTATATAATTTTGACGTAAAATGTCATTAGGATTATCTCAAAACCTATTTTTATATCTAATTATAAAAATTTAAATTTCAAAAATGGTTAAAATCAAGTAGATCCATAAACATATGAAAATATTGAAAATGGACGATGTAGATAATATGTTGTAAAATGCACTATTTTTTAGTCTTAAAAT